AATTAGTTCAGCTACCATGAGATTATACTTCAGACATTTCTGACCAATTAGGTGAGACCTCAAGGAAGATGGTTGGAGACTTTGAGGCAACTACCTGGCACTTTCAGGACAGAAAATCTTCCCTAGGAGCTCATCCATGGCAATTGGCTCGATCGCCTCTCAAAAATTCCTTTTCATTTCCACTGCTGTTTCTTCGTTATCTCTCAGCCAAGCCAATAAGAGCATTTCTTTTAGAAACGAAGTACCGGAACCGATTCAAGCGCGTCAAATCGCCTCTTCGTCGCAGTCGTCGCAAGACGAAGATGATCCCTATCAAGTAAGCGGATATGACTCAATTCGATTTGCTTACGCAACTCCTACGTATGCAGCTAACTAATTCACTTTATAGGAGATTCTTCGAACATACAACGACAACGTTTCACACTTGGTTTTCCACGGATCATCACTAAAATCGATGAGCAACCTTGATTTTGAATCAATGAACCAACACTCCGGTCGAACGGATCGTGCCGTGTACGATTTCAGGAGAGGACGGAGAGTGAGCTTGGAGGAAGGACAATGAAAGCGGCTGAAAGTGCTTGAGTACTTAGTACTTGTCCATAATTTTACTTTTAAGCGTTATGTGCCCCGGGAGAAGTCCACTTTAATGCGGGTCATGTTCTGACCAACTAAGGGACTTCATGCTGTCTAGGACCATGTACGACGAGATGGCGCCATGTCCTGACGTTGACTAAAACCATTCCAGAACATGCCCACTGCCTGTCGGTGAGAGAGTGCAGAAAGGCGCAGTTCGGCGGGGGGGGGGGCATTTGCACTTTTGCTACTTCCCATCGTCGACCTATCTAGACAGCCTCTTCTCGAGTTGACAGGTTTTAACATGATGGCTTGACGACCTTGCTCCAGCTTCACAAGAGTTCACAGGTTTCGCCAGAGTGAGACTTGTAAACCGGAACTAAGGAAGCAAAATGCCCCCCCCCCCCCCTCGTCACCGAGCAGCGCCATACGGACGATTAGACATGGTCTAGCTCAGCGCCGTTGGGAAGGGGCCTTTCTCGGAGCACATAGTGTATACTTTGATTTGGTGTAATTGACA